TAAGGTGACATACTGTGGTTTTCTCAAATTCTTCCAGAAACTCCATTAATCTATGATAAGACGGCGTGTTATGGCTTACTGAGAATACTCGATTAGCCCTCACGACCAGCATTCCTAAGAAGCCTGTCAAATGCAAGACTGTTCCTATTTCGGGACACTGTGGCTCGCCAACTGCATGCCCAAGTAACTGTCATGTTGACGTTAGTCAGTTGTTAGTCATTCGTGCGCAACGCTCGTAAAAGTTAACTGGTTAAGGAGGAAGACTAACTGATCACTGTAGTCACTTGTTTATTGGTCTGAACTTTCCAACTCTCACATCAGTCGACGACAGCGGCAACAGAGTAAGTGCCTGACCTCTCTGGCGGTGCACTTTACTATGGGTTAGACAGCATAGAACAAGAAACGGGCGGTCTCGGTGGTAGACATACCTTCCTTTCGCTTAGTTTATTCACTACCGGGAAAGGCATAATCGCGTCAATTTGCAGTTCACTGGGTTTTTGCGGACAGGGTAGGATTGTCATATATTACCATCTGTGTCAGCATCTGATTTAGTGTTTGTGACTATTTTGGAAAGATGTGTTATATAGTTAGGTTAAAAACAGATGACATGAGTTGCGTGCCAGATTACATTTGCCTGCAAGTTTGACCTGACGCCTATCGGAGCCCATACATCTGCAGTTCCAACAACTATGCTACTCAGTTTCTTGAAATATAAGTCACCAGGTGGGCTTTACTTCCAACGACGCGATCATGCGCAATGACAGTGATAAATCCGTATGTGGATGTCAGTACAGTAGAATAACTGAAGAGCCCCATTTGGGCTTCACGATATGGACGCAGTTTTCAGTAAGTTTATGTCATTGTAAGCTTTGAATTGCTAATCGAAATCAAACGACTTATATCAAGATAAAGATTCGATGGACTAGGGCTTGTGTCTGAAGGTCTATACTACCGCTTAGGGATTATTTTGGTAAATCAAAACCAATTGTGCATGCTCATTGAGAGACGATACACTGACAACCAAAATGTACGTAATTTACTGACCTGTTGAAATTTCAGGAGGGCTGAATTGGCCTCACAGCCACTGTACGTTGGGTATCCCAGAAACCGCACTGAGGGTGACAGTTGGCCCGCCTGTGGGACCGAAGGATAACAAGTTGAATACTTGAGAGGCTGCGAGTTCTTCTCGTCTGCGGAGAGGTCCGGTTTCACAAAGGATAGATAGGAACCCGAACGGGAGCCCCCATCACCCATCTCCTGGACTCTGCTCTCCAGAAGTCTCATTTGCTCCGGAGTGAGTGTCATGTCCTGAGGCACAAAGACCTCCGTAGAGGATTGCTTGTGGTAGGGTGCGTAGAATTCGCCGACTCCAATCTCACCCATGGGACAGGAGCCGTCACAGTGCTCACCGCTGCAAACACTGCCAGCGGTTGGTGCCTTCTGCGATACTATGGTATAATTCGGGCCCATGGCAGAGTGTTTCATGAAGGTGGAGGTGAGCGTGGGGTACTCCAGGAAGGTGTTCTGGTGGTTCTGATGGTCCTGTGGCAGGATATACGTCATGCGAGCACAATTCTGATTCACTGTTGAACCGCGGTCGGTGTGATCCTCCTTGGCGCAGCACGGTTTGCAGTGGCGCGGATGCTTCGAGCGTCGTCGGACGCAGATAATAGCCACAGTCAGGCAGATGGCTATTATGGCTGTGACCAGGACTAGCAGGGTGAGCAGTCCTGTCTGGATCCCGAAGATGCCCGAATTTACTTCTACGACGCGAATCTGAGAGCGAATGAAATGCATTGCTTATCTACTGTGTTAGTCAACTGATCTGGGTCAAAACAGTATACACCCAAAGTAAAGGATTTGCCTTTTTCCGAGGTTCCAAAAGCCCATTCAGTATCTAACGCCGTTTTTAAAGTAAGTCAGCTTCAAGGTTCTGATGATGGGAATCTGCAGGGGGACATAATGTCATAATGTACACGAGCCTCTCAAGCGTTCATTTCTTGGAACCATGCGGCCACTAGCGCCGCCTCCAATTCAGACTTCCAGTAGAAACTGAAGGCTCAATTCCGTGCAGCTACAAAATTAACTCGCCTACAATTTTAAATATTCCAAGCATCAGCTGACAGAGCATGAATCCATGGTGCCGATGGTTGACCGTTAGGCTCAGGAACCAAATGGATTTGGTTGAAGTCTCAGAAAAACTAGGTCTATTATTTTGGGGTGGCTGGCCGACAGGGAAAAATAAATAAGTATTTTTCGTCTCCATTCCCAATACTGCAATTATTACTAACAAAGTATCGTATTATCCCTCCCCACATAGCGCGATGGTCTGAGACTCTACGCTAAAATTTTTATTATCTACAACTGATAAATTCCATTTCCCCATGAGAGGTGCAAATATCTAGAATTATGACGATCGTAAGTCGGTCGTAGTATGGAATTTAAGAAGTTTCTATTTTCTAAAGTTACTTTGCGACCAGCAGGCACAAGTTAAAATTCATGTACGACCGCAAGTGTCATTTCTGGCATATCATCAGTTGGTCGCCATCATTCAGTCGTCCATATAGACCGTGGATTTGAACCTGAATATACTGTTTCCCAATGTTAGATAAGAATCCATTCCCTTTACTACTTTCCACTGCTTAACATTCCTCAGAAGTCAACTTTTTGACATATCAACATGAATTTATTCTTATCTTTGTCTGTATGCGATGTTTCATGGTAGATCACGGATAACCTACAATAACTATGCGGAGACCCACCTAGAGATATTAGGGACGAAGAGAAGGGAGACCGGAGGGACCATTTCGGACTTATTAACCGTCATCAGCCGGTCATACCCAACCCCAGCTGGTACTTCATCCGAGGTTCGAACCCGCGATTTGTTGGGCCACAAAATGACCGTTCCAGTCTCTCTTATCAGCAATGTGCATCTTCCTACACTAATAGCCACTGTGCGGCTCCTGGCGGGACTCGAGAGTAAACCCCACGGCAGAATAGGAAGAGTGAGTTTCGTTAGCTATCGGTGAGTGTCAATCCACGTTTACCAACCTCAATTAGAGATTAGCCTACATCTGCACGTAAATGCTGGATGATAACAAACTATGGCCAGAGTGACGATAAAACGGCTCAATTTGTGAGAGTTAACTTTTACGTTTTAAAATAGCATTCAATTAAACACGTCTCGTAAGGGCTCATCCAACTTGTTCCTGAGGCAGTCAGGCAGCAGCTTTACCGAACTGACATTGCAATACTCAACCTCATACATATGCACTACACTGTCTGACTAACGAGTCTTCTTCAGGCGAACTGCACCAGGACTGCACCATGCCTTTCCCTTCCTTCGAGGGTGAACATAGAATGCTACAGAGTCTCGTTAACAGAGTCAAATAAACTCCTTGCATGCCCAGGGCTAGAAGCTGGATTTTTGCTCTAAAATTTTTATCCTAGAAAGGACTGTAGCTCATATTAGATTCCTGGTTGAAAACCGGCTTCCAGAGCGTCCTTACAAATCTTAAATTAGTTCCTGGCCGGACGTAGTCCGCAAACCAACTCCACTATAGGGAAAATTCAGATATCTTGTGGCTGAAATGGGGCGGTTTGGCCTCATAAATGCAGCTATTGATTCTAACACAGCTTTGCCACGTCTCTTTGCTATTATCAGATAAAGATAACTTCTCTAAGGTTAATTCCCCTTACGCTTTGGGTGATAACTAACAACCCGTCACTCTGGTCGTCTGACTTTTCGGACGTGCCCAGCTTGAATAGCCGAACAATTTCCTTTCCTGTGCTCTATTCGCACATGAATGAACTCATACCCTCTTCGTCTTCTCCGCTATTTTGTCCTTCTTGTAAATTTCAAAAATTTAAATTTAATTTGTTCTCTCTCTTTTATCCCTTCCCTTTTCATTGGCTCAGCAACTTGCTGATCCTATCCACATGTTTTCTGTTTTTTGCTGCTTTAAGTGGGCTGATTAGTTTCTTCAAATCTGTTCTCTGCAAACAAAAACTTGTTTGAAAGACGTTTTTCTCAGCCAACTGGCGGGTTTTCGTGACTTTTGGCCTGCTCCTTGCAGCCAAGGGCGTAGACGCGGGTG